AAGCAGCATAGGTATATGCCTTGATTTTTATCCACTATGTCTCTTGATTGAAGCATTTAGTCCATTTACATTTAAGGTAATTATTGACAGATATATGGTCACTGTTATTTTATTGTGTTCTGATTGTTTTGTAGTTCTCAGTTCATTTCTAATTTTCTTACTTTCTTGTATGTCGATGACTTTGTATAGTGTTCTATTTGGATTCCTTTGCCTTTATTTCTTGCGTACCTCATAGATTTTTGGTTTGTGGTTACCATGCGCTTCATATGAACCAAACTATGTTTACAGCAGTCTATTTTAAGAAGATAGTCACTTAACTTTGAACACATTCTAAATCACTATAATTTTTATTCATCCCCTCCACATGTATGATTTTGTCATTATTTTTTACCTCTTTTGTGTTTATGTGTATCCCTTAATGTACTGTTGAAATTACACATGATCTTCCTACTTTTGCCTTTAACCTCTGTACTTGCTTTTAGAGTTGGTTGATCCACTGTTTTTATTAACTCTGCCTTTTCATTGTGAATTTTTTCTTTCCTATATTTTCGATCCTTTCTTTTCTTCTTAAAGAAGTGCCTTTAACCTTTCCTCTGATAGTCGTTTCCTGGTGATGCAACACTTTAGCTTTTCCCGTCTGGGAAACTCTTTATCTCTCCTTCTAAATGATACCTTTGCTAGGTAGTGCATTCTTGGTTGTAGGTCTCAGACTTTCATCATTTTGAATATTGTATGCCATTTTCCTATGGCCTGCAAAGTTTTTGCTGAGAAATCACTTGACAGTCTTATGGGAAAATTCCTGGTACATAGCCAACTGCTTTTGTCTTACTACTTTGAAGATTCTCTCTTCGTTTGACCTTCAGCATTTTAATTATTATGGGTCTTGGTGTGGGCCTCTTTGGGTTTGTCTTGTTGGGTACTCTATGTTTCATGGACTTTTATGTCTACTTCCTTTGCCAGGTTAGGGAAGTTTTTGCTCATTATTTCTTCAAACAGGTTTTCAATTCCTTGCTCTCTTTCTGGTCCCCCTCTGATGCAAATGTTGATATGTTTAATATGACCCCAGAGAAACCTTAAACCATCCTCATTTACTTTCAATCTTTTTTCTTTTTGCTGTTTTAATTGGGAGTTTTCTGCTATCTTGTCTTCTGATTACTGAGTTGATTCTCTGCTCCATCCGATCTGCTGTTGTTTCCATCTAATGTATTCTGCATTTCTGACTGGTCCTTTTTATGTTTTCTATCTCCATTTTTATTTTTCCTGCTTCTTTATCCAAGTTCCCACCGAGTTCATGTATTCTTCCCCTTAAGTTCAATAAGCTCCCTTATAACCAATGTTTTAAACTCTAAATCCTGTAGATTTCTTGTCTCTATTCTGTTTAGTTCTTTTTCTACAGTTTTGTCTTTGTCTCCTCATTTTGGCTAACTCCTTTTATTTGTTTCTATGTATTAGGTAGATTTGCTACATCTCCTGGTTTTGGCTGAATGGCTCTATACAGTAGGTTTCCTGTGGGGCCCAGTCATACAGTCTTCCTGGTTCCTGAGTTGGGTGTTCCAGGTGTGTCTCTTGTGTGGTTTTCGTGTACCTTTTGTTGTAGTTGATCCTTGATTGCTGTGGCATTTCAGGGGTTGGGACTGACCCTAAGGCTGACTGGCTATGACTATAGTGGATGAGCTGTTGTTCAGGGGCTGACCCCCAAGACTGAGAGTTGCTTAGTGGGGTTATGCCAGCTGAGACCACCCTTCAAGTGTGCTGTTTATAGAGCTGGGTGAATGGTGCTCTGGTGTGGTCTGAAGCTAACTATCACGTATGTGGGTCCTGGAGCTCTGGTGTGTTTCCAGCTTGGGGCCATCCGGTAGTACTTACAAAGTGATCGGTGCTTGGTTCATGCCAGGGATGAGCTTGGAGGTGCTTGGGAGAGGTTATTCTGCGAACTGAGGATGGCGTCACTAGTGTCGGACTTAGGACCCTTTGGTGGGCACCGTAATGGGAGTTGAAGCCAGCTGCCACTTGTGCCTGGTTTGTGGTCACTTAGTTGAGGCTACATTCCAAACCAAGATTGCCACTTCTTATGCTAGGCTTGGGACTACCTGATGGGAGTTATGATGTAAGTTGAGACAAGTCACCACTTGGTCTGAACTTGACATAACTTAACAAAAAGTACAGGACCCACAGAGGTCAGGCACTATCTGATTACAGTTTGTGGACCTTGGAGAGAGTTTAGGGATGTCGACAGCATGAGGCAAGGCAGGTTGCTTATATGGAAGAGTAGCTGAAAGAGGTTAGGCCAGGCATGTGAGTTGGGTAGGGAGGAGTCTCAGGGCATCTCCAGGGCAGGCAAACAGTGTTAGCCAGGTTAATGGAATGCTCAGATTTGGCATCCACCTGGGTCAGGCAGCTGGGTGAGAGGAGGGCTCAACAAAAGAGCAATGGCACCTGCCAACATTCCTGTCCCAAGAGATTTGTTCTGACTCTTGCCTTTCCAGCCTTGGCCCTGAAGCCAGTTAATTTAGTTCCTCCCATATGTCCTTGGCACTTTCTGAGCTGCTGCTTCTGTGCTGGAGCCCAAAGGAAGTAAATCTATGCATGGGCCCTTTAAGACCTGCAGTGCCTAGGTCTCCAGCTGCTCTCCGTCTCATTAAGACGTAATCCCCACTGGTTTTCACAACTAGATGTAGCAACTCATTTTCCCAGCACTGAAGCCCTAGGCAGGGGAGCCAGGTGTGGGGCTAGGACCCCTTGCTCCTCAGGGAGGACCTCCACAGCTGAGCTATCCCTCCCAATTCTTAATCACCACACCACGGATGTGGGACCTGCCCATTCCACTTCTCTGCCCCTGCTACCAGCTTCTTTATACCATCAGCTATAGGACTTCTGTTCAGGTAGCCTTTAGGAGGTTTTCAATGATGGTTGTTCTGATTCAGTTGTAATTTTCATGTGGTAGTGGAAAGAGATGAGCACAGCATTTTCCTACTCTACCACCTTGACTGAAAGTCTCTAAACTATTTTTTTAAATAATAATGATATTTTTAGCATTTAGGTATACTAGGGTGAGGGCCTGACCCACAACAGACCAGAGTTCTAGCTCCAGAGCTCGCAAGGTTTGGTACCTTGGGCAAGTCCCGTAGAACTGGTAGGTCTGAGTTGTTTTAATGTAAGCTATGAAGGTTGGATGATGAATCTAGAAAGTGCTAATGATCACAACAGTGGTTATTACAAATCCAATATAAGGTATTATAGAACAGCATGGTTAGGCTCATAAGCTCTAGATGAGTTATTCAACAGCCTGGTTCAAATCCAAGTTCTATCCTCTATAAGCAGTGTAATGGTACACTGGCTGTTCAGCTTCTCTAAGCTCCATTCATAAACAGGGACAAAAGCAATGCCTAGTAGTAGTGCAACAGTGTGAATCCAAAGAGCTAATGTGTCCAAAGTGCTTGTGCTATGCCTGGCATGCATTAAGGGTTCTATAGATATTGGGTGATATTATTATCATTATTATTTTTATCATCTTTAGTCATATTACAGGATATATTTTCCTATGAAATATTTCATCAAAAACATAACCAAACTAGAAAAATTTCATGAAAACTAAACTAAAAAACATAAAAATTATAAAACTTAGCATGGTAGCTAATAATGAATTCAATAAATACATCTTTTTTTTTTTAATCCTTACGCAAGGATATATTCACTGACTTTAGAGAGAAGGAGAGAGAGAGGAACATCAATGTGAGAGGGAAACATCAATCGGTTGCCTCCCGTGTGTGCCCCAACAGGGGATCCTAACCCACAACCTTCTGATGTATGGGATGACGTTCCAACCAACTGAGCCACCCGGCCAGGGCTCATCAAATACATCTTTTAGGAGAAAGTATGGATCCCTTTGTATCTGAACAAAACCACTGACTCCAAGAAAGGCTCACATATACTCATAAAAGAAATGTTTCAAGAGGTGCTTGGACCTTGAAGTCCATTTTTGGATGTCTGGCTTCAGTTAGGAAGCCATGATCAGGATCAGTGGCTGAAAACTCCACATCAGTGAGTTGAATTTGACCTACAGAGTCTTAAAACTTTTTGATGTGAATGCCTCTAAGGGTATGAATTCTTCAGTGCACCACAGTTCCTACCATACTCTCTGGTATTAATCTCAGGAAACATCACTTTTGGGCGTCATTTATCAGCTGACCTTGATGGGCCTCTGAGTTTGTGACCCTTGTTGTATACTTTTCAGCCCCTACTGTAGCAGGCCTTTCTTGTACTAAGGATGCTGGCATGAAAGAAACCAAACACATTTCCCTGACTCCCTTGCAGTTAAGGGTCCACCATGTCACCTAGGTTCTGCATGCAGATAAATATAAGACTTGGTAGTTGATCAGATTAAAAAGAGGTGGCGGCAAGTAAAACAATCAGATTTCCTGTGTGGGAGATGGCAAAAGCCTTAGGTTCTTTTTGGCAACTGTGGCCAAAAGTTCTAGATCTACTGCTGAGGTTGGCTATCTGAGGCCTGTGTGTCAGACCTGGCCCACTCTCTGTTTTTGTAAATAAAGGTCTACTGGAACACAGCCATGCCTGTCTGATTACCTACCGTCTACGGCTGCATGTGTACTACAACAGCAACGCTGAGCGACTGTGACAGAGACCATATGGACTGTGAAGCCTAAAATTTTTATAATCTGACACTTTACAGAAAGTTTACCGACCTTTGGTCTCATCCCTAGATGTGTAGTTGTAGGTGACAGCTGTAGTAAAATAAGATTTTCTCATGATGTAGCTTCTCCTAGGAACAGTATTCCTGTTCTGGAGAATCTAAGCTCGATTCTCTGGACCTTCTTTCAATTTTAAAAGGTACCTATTACTGTGTAATAAATTCCTTTCTGCTGGTAATAGCTGGAGTGGTTTCTATTCCTGCAAGTAAAAACCCCGAATGAAACACGGAGTCACAAAAGACAAGGAATTAGGCTATAAAGTTTAAAAATTTTAAAGTTTAAAATACTTACATTATGTGTCATCTCAAAGTACTTCTGACAGGCTACCTGGTAATGTGTGCCTTTTACTAAATCCAAAATCTAAAATGAATGAGAAAAGAGAAAAGAATTAGAAATGAAAAGTTTCTTCTACACCAGAGTACCTCATGGCTGTTGGCCACCTTCATTCCAGACAGGAAATGCATTAAATCACGCAGCATATTCTACTTCTGCAGCCTGGGCACTGTGATCATTTTGACATTACACAGTAGCAGTTAAGGTCAGCATTAAACCACAGATGACAACAGATAGAAAGTGATCTTTCTGACCTACTAACTGTGAATTTCAGTAACTTTACCTTGACAACGAGATGAAAATAGATCCTAGTATTGTGACTTTGACAGTTATTTTTGGGACGTCTTATTGCAACATCTCTTCAAAAATTGTAGATAAAAATCTGGTCATCTAAATGGTCAGTACATGAAGCAATCAAGTATACTATTTAGATTTTTATTTTCCACATTACCAGTTTATACAGATACAGCATAAAATACAGCTGTACGCCCATCAGGAAAATTCAATGTAAACCCTTTGGATGACTATCTGTGGAGAGGGAATGCTTTTACCTTCAATCAGATTTGTCCTGTTTTGAAATGAAGTTATATCTAGTAAAGCTCAGCAGAATATGAGAGTAAATAGTCTATTCTGAACACCTATTAGGAACATCATCCTATCTTTTGTAAATACAATTTGCTTTCCAATTCTACCTCATGTAATCTCTTCAGAGCGATGCAAACTCCCATTCTTATCAGCAGAGTGCAATGCCAGTTGAAATTTTGTAAAGTTCCATCACCTCCCCCACCAAATAAATAATATATATATATTTGGTGTGTTTATCGAACACAGTAAAATGCTGGAATTAAGAGACAGCCTCAAATGAAGGGAAATAACATTCTGGAGATATATACATTTCTATCCCTTTTCAAAAGGCTGGCCTTCCTATGACTAAAAAAAAATGTATATGAAGTTTCAAATTCTTGCTATCTTCATTATTGAATATAGCTTTCCTCTTTTGACAGACACGCAAACAAATTACAGTTGCAGAACGAGTATCATAGAATACTGATAAGAGTGTGCTTAAAAAATTGTACTTCTCTGTCTTACAGATTACATTTCTGAATTTCAGGTCATCTTGTAATTAAATCTACCTGAACGACCTATGTAAATGCCAACCAATCATAGCACCCAGGATCCTGTCTGCCTATGTGACGTATCCACTTTTCATGAATTATTAGAGCAAAAATGAAAAATAGATCAATTAAAATAAACAACTAGAAACTTTAAAAAGTGAAAAAAGTCACAAAATTTTCCACATAATTCCAACATTCTGAGCTCATATTTCCCAATGTTTTTTACACATTGATAATTCAAAACATGTTAAGGTGACCTTACAATTGATTGTTGGCAAATATCAATGATACCAACACAGAGCTGGGCAAAAGCAGGTTTACAGTTGGTTATGTGGAAAATAATACAGTAATTAATAAATAATAATACAAGAAAAACTCAGTGTTTAATGTACTTCCAACTGTAAATCAACTTTTGCCAACCCCTGTGTATGCATATCTGTGAATACAATTTTGGAGAAGCCAATGCATAACAAAGTTTAAATGATACCATAAATTACCAGAAAAGGAATTCACAGAAATAAGCAAAAAGCTCAACTGTGTAATGCACAAGTTACTTTTATATAAAAACAAAATAGGGAATCTCACATCTTATTCAATATATATATAAAGTATATATATTTCTTGTTATATATGTATGTATATATGTTGCACACATATATATAATAGAATTTGTATATAGTATTTTCTTTACAAATTAAGTAACTTATACACATAAAATCTAATAAATATTGGAAAGCCTGCTATAAAGGAATACTTGAAAGAAATATTGATAAAAATATCTAGTTGCGTAATATACAAATGAGTAAAATGTGTCAGTTTTCCTCGATAAATATAAGCCCCAGAATGTGAGAAAAGCAGATTTCTGTATCTTGAAATTTTAGATTTCATCGAAAAAGTTAAATTTAGATTAATCACCTAACAACCACTCCACCCCACTCCACTCCCATAGTAGGCCCTTCACTAGTAAAAACTATCACTTACCTTTCCTCTGTTTGTACAATTTTTTCAGGAGGAATTTTTATTTAACATTTTCTTGCAAATGTACAAATAAATCATTGAACTATCTATCCTTAGACAACTTTATTAATCGTGTCACAGCATATATGAGTGGATAAAAGTCCCTGTATAATGGGAAATAATGGGATAATGTAAAGGTACAGTGGGAAAAAAAGGACAATAGAGGATTTTTCATGGGCTAGAAAAGCTATTCAAAGGCAGACAGATAAACTTCGGCTTAAGGAGAGGAGCTCGGGAAGGAGAAAGAACACTAAGTAATAAAGATATGGGGACAATAAATGAGCTAGTAGAAGAAATCCAAGAGAAGGACTGCTTTGAGGTAATCAGGGTATTATTTTCATTTTAGAGATGAAGAAACACGTCCTCTTAAGAATAAGGTGTCTGTCCAGTGAGGATCATTTATTATGGTAAGAATTAAAAATTAAAACATCAGCCGTGGCTGGTGTAGCTCAGTGGATTGAGCATGGGCCTGCAAACCAGAGAACATGGTTTGATTCCCAGTCAGGGCACATGCCTGGGTTGCAGGCCAGTTCCCAGCAGGGAATGCACAAGAGGCAACCATACATTGATATTTCTCTCCCTCTCTCCTTCCCTTCCCCTCTAAAGATAAATAAGTAAAATCTTTAAAAAAATTAAAATATCATATGTAACTAAGTGATCCTGTTTTCCTAAGAGAATATGTATTTATATGTTTTAAAACTAGTATAGAAAATATACACTACTTAAAAAATCCAACAACTAATACAAGTATGTACTTTAACTTTACATTATTATCTACATTGCAGAGATACAGGAAAAGAAAAGAAGAGAAAGAGATGGGTCTTGTGGACCAATGAATTAAGTATGGCTTTTTCTCTTAGTAAAATGAGGAGCTACTGCAACGTTCTAAGCACAGGAGTGACAGCAACTGACTTACATTAACAGGAATGTTTTTCCTTCAGTGTTAGGAACAGACTAGAAGGGTGGAGGAAACAGGAAGCCGATTTCAAAAACCCAGGGAATAGATGGAGGCTTGCTCAGGATGGTAACAGTCATGGTGAGAACGAGTCAGGTTTGGAGATGGAAGGATTTCCTACTTAATGACCATAAACTACGTCTTTTCAAGAACTAGACCAATGACTAGTTTTTGAAAACTAGCTGTTCTACATGAAAATGCTTGACATGAGCCTTGGCTGGTGTGGCTCAGTGGACTGAGCGCTGGTCTCTGAACCAAAGGGTCCCCAGTTTGATTCCTAGCAGGGCACATGCCTGGGTTGCAGGCCAGATTCCCAGTAAGGGGGTGCATGACAGGCAACCACACATTGATGTTTCTCTCCCACTCTTTCTCCCGCCCTTACCCTCTCTCTAAAAATAAATAAATAAAATCTCTAAAAAAGGTGCTTGATATGAACTTGATCCCCAATGTTTTGCAATGAGGCATTGCCTATTTAACTCCTCCCATCCCGGATTGATTTCCTAAATGAAACTAGTTAAAATACCAACATATGAGTAACAAGCTATCGTGTAAAATAAATGAAAAATACCACTTACTTACTAGTCACTAAGCAATATGACTAAGGTGCTTTTTAAGCAGTAACACATGAGGATGGCCCCTCTTAGTGTCACCGAAGTGTCAATGCACAACCTTTCTGCTGACGTCAGGATTTTCACAAGTGAGTCTGATGTTCCACCATTTGTACTTGAAAAGCAACTTGAAACTTTTTCTGCACCTATTTTTCTTAGATTTTTCTGGTATAAGTGTCACTGGCAAACACTGTATTAAGATGTCCCACAGGTATGTCTATTTTAAGAATGGTGCTGGTGCAATCTGCTGATGAGATGGATGACTCCAAAGCAGGAAATGCAAGTCTAAACACCAAAAGATAGGGAAGGAGAACTGAGGTGTGAGTAAGGTACAAAAATTCAGTTTGTGAAGGAGCAAAAATAGAAACACGGCAAAGAAACACCAAGACACAAGAAGGGCAGGCGCCTGAGGGAGAATCTGTTAAACAGGATTTGGGGACAAAAGCTAAAATTTCTACGATATGTTTTACGTACCCTGGAAAGACTGTTCTTCCCAAAGTGAATCATTTACGTTTTCGTGCAGAGACGCTGCGGGCGCTCACTGCTAACCCAGTGAGGCTGCCCAGGGCGACTGGAATGCGTCATGACCGGGATTACTGAGCCATCTTTATTTCCTGAAACCCGGGATCCTAGGAATAGCTGGTCTCATTGAGAATTTAAATATTTTGTTAAGTCATAATTCAAGTAACCTTTCTTTTAAGTGCCAAGCTTTGACAGAAGGGCCGTGTCCCAGGGCTATGGACAGAGAGGCTTGACTTACAGCCAGACTACTGTGATCCTGAGACAGATTAGGGTTTAACCAAATGTGGTGTGCTTTTCTCTGAAACTGAAATTTTTCTTTGATGTCTTCTCAAGAATGAAGAAATACTGGATAAGGTAATATTTTACAACATGCTAATTTTGACCTTACCTACCTAGCCTTTTAAAAAATATATTTGGGTAGGGGATACAGGGTGTTCATAATGTGCTTGTTTATATATTTTGTGCTAGAATCATATACGAAATATATTAAATGTTTTTAAAGAAAAAATATTCTGTAGAGATGCCAGAATGAAGATGTGGTCAGGCAACAGTACTTTTGACTATGTTAGTTTTGCCCGTACAGCTTGGGAAGGGCCTGACCTCCATCCTCACAAACTGCCTTTGCCCGTCTTAGACGGATAGTTCCCCCGTGCCCAAGTCCTGCCCACAGTGACTGGCCAGAGTGAGGGTCAGAAATAACATGGTGAGGGAAGCCCATACTACACGGAGGCAGAAACTCACTGAGAGGAATAAATGCCATGAGATAAAAGGAAGCAAACAGGAAGATGAAAGACCTTGTGAAAGAAAAGT